CAAGGTTACGGGGCGGCCCCGAATTTTCCTCCCCCCGCTTCGGCGCCAGCATTCGTGTCAGGGTCAGGGTCAAGCCTCCATTCGACGGGCCACCTTTCCCTCCCCCCCCCTACCCTTCCGCCTTTGCGCCCACCCTCCCCCTCGGCCCATCATCCGAGCTGGGCTGCATACAGGCCGGCGACAAATCTGCGATCTGCGACCTGTTCTGGCTGCCCTGCACTGAGCTAGCCAAGACCCAGGGAGCCTCTCTCCTGCTCCGCCGCCTCTTCCTGCTCCTCCTCCTGTTCCTCTGCCGCCGCCACCACCATGCCCGAATCCACACGGGCTCCGCCGGCCCCGACAAGCCTGCTCTCCGTCCCTTCTCCCATCGCGAACCTCTTCAAGCGTGTGCCCCTGGCCGTCTACCCGGCCAACGACTTGCCTCGGAGATCGCCCTCTGCCGACACGACGCGCGAGTTGCCCATCCTCTACATCTTTACGACCAAGGAGGGTGCTCGGGTGGGCAGGCCGAGTTTTAACCCGTCGTGTCTCAAGTGGCAGGTTGGTGCCCCCTTGGTTCTTCTGGTCCCCTTTACCTGTCCTCTGGTTCGCTAACATTGCTACCAGACTGTGCTGAAAATTGCCCGCTTGCCCTTCACGACAACACCGTCCACGAACCACGCATCGCCTTCTGGCGCCCTGCCCTTCCTCCTACCTCCCCCCTCGCCGACCCGCTCCAACAACTTGCCCATCCCCGCCGGCGACGCCCTCCTCAACCACGCCGTATCCCACTCGCCGGCGAAAACACCGCCCAATCTCGCCGACGACCTGCCTCCCCGCCAGGAAGCGTACCTGGCCCTCCTACACGCCCGCCTACGCCCCGCCTTCCTCCACGCCCTGTACGTCAACCCGATAAACACACCTCTCCTGCAGGCCCTCTACGTCAACCCCTGCACGTCAAACTCGATTGTGCGCGCGACGCTACAGCACCAGGTCCGTTCCGCCGCCGAGGCCGAGATTCTGGCGTCCACCAAGGCTGCCTACATAGATGCCGACGCGTTATATCAGGACGCCGTTGCCGGCTTTGCAGCGCTCGAGACGCTGCTGAGCGGCACAGCGGGGGGAGAAGGCTTCTTTTCTGGCGGCGACGAGGCTGGGCTGTTCGACGCCGAGGTGTTCGCGTACACGGGCGTCATCCTCGACGAGAGGCTCGGCTGGGTCGACCGCCGGCTTGCCGAAGCGCTGAGGGCCTCGCCAGGGCTCGTCAGGCATCGGGAGCGCATGATGGTGACATATTTCCCAGAGAAGGCCTAGCCCTCGACACGATCTACTTGCATGAGGAGGAGTAAAATGTATAACAGAGACCGGCCCGATTGCGCCGTATGGTTGTATACCTAGCCTAATATCAACTCATAAAGCTGCTCTCTTCCGTCCCCGTGAACTGCTGGTTTCCCTGTGTCAGGCGACAAGACTAGGTGGGCACAGGCTGTTTGGGCAATCTGCAATGGATGCATGAATGTAACGAAGGTGCACAATATTATAGTGCCCTGTAAAAGCTGGGTACAAATTAAGTGGGAAGCCCGGGGAGCTTTCCGAATATTCACGCATGGTTAGCACTCAGCACTCTGCAAGTTTTGAGTATCAGAAAAGTGAATAGACAAGCAGATGTGTCGGCGTTGGTCGTGTCACCACGCCGTCTCGGCTTGCGCTGAAGTGTTGCCGCTACCGGCCACGCATTGCTGCAACTGGCACCAATCGAAACACGAGATCATGGTAAAACACTTTCCTAGGTATTCAAGACAATTTCATAAATCATGAGAGCCCATTTTGCTTTCCACCCCTCCGTTACAGATCGGCCTTGTTCACGCCCCTCTCGGCACAATACTTGTCGACCTCCTTCTGCAGGGTATCCTTCTGCCTCTCGACGAGGTCCATGACGTCCGCCAGCTCGTCGCCGAGGGCGGCGTCGCCCCGGGCCCCGCCGACGTCGGCGTAGAGCCTGCTCATCTCGGCCAGCACGGCCTGCAGCTGGTTGGGCAGCCAGGTGACGATGGGGCTGCCGCCCGTGGCGGTCGGGTGGCTCGTCCGCTTGAGGATGTACTCGCGCGCGAAGCACCAGTGGCGCCAGCGGAAGTCGCGGACCTGGTGCAGGATCTTGATCCACAGGCGGCGCGACTCGAGGAGGGCCTCGCGCTCGTCGGCGGCGGCGGGCAGGGGCAGGGGCAGGGGCTGGGCGGCGCCGTCGGGACCGAGGCCGAGGACGAGGCGCTTGACGTCGAGCTCGGCGGCGCGCTCGGCGACGTAGCCCAGGAAGGCGCGGTGGTTGCTGGGGCGGTACTCGCGGAAGTCGCGCAGGATGGCCGTCAGCGGCGTGTCGGGCATGGTCACCTGCAGGAGGTTGTCCATGAGGGGCACGATCGAGTCGTTGGCGCCCGACTCGCCGCGGAAGGAGAGGGGCTCGTCCGAGACGCCCTCGTAGGTGACGCCGTGCGGGAACATGGACTGCGAGGTGATGCCGAAGATGAAGGTGCGGAACGACGTGTAGGACATGGGCTTCGACTTGGCCCACATGGTCTCCATGGCCGCGTTGATCTTGCGCAGCGACGCGAGCACGCTGGCGAGCGACTGGTTGATGTCCTCGCGCTGATGCAGCGACAGGGCCGCGTTGGGCGACGTGTTGGCGGCGTGTGCCAGCAGGGAGACGGCGCCCTTGACAAGGGGCCCCGAGTTCTTGACCATCTCAATGTGGACGAGCACGAAGCCGGCTTCGGAGGATGTGGGATCGAGGCCGTGCTCAAAGGCGCGGATGAGGCGGAGGTTGTCGTAGTCCATGCCTTGTTTGGGGTCCTCGAGGCGATAGTTGAAGAGGGCGTACGAGCCCGCATATTCCATGAAGGGCTTGAAGCCGGTGCTAGTTGCTGTTAGTGATTGGTCCTTGACGACGAGTGACGGTTGCTCAATGGGTATGCACCATGCTACGTGTTGGAGGTCACGGTGTTTGTGGACTCGAGGGCAGACACATGCTAAAGAGAATCAGGCCGACTTACAGCTCAGCACAGCGCGCCATCGGCCGGGCAATCTGCTTCGGCAGCACGTCCCTACCCAGACCATACGGCTCTCCTTTGACGAAGCGCTCGTGGCAGGGCTCGAGCAGGTACGCCGACAAGAGGAAGGAGTAGTCACGGTAGAGGGCGTTCATGACGGGCAGGTCGTCCTTGTAGCGTTCAATGTGCTCCGTCAGGTCCGGCAGCTCGTCCTTGACTGCGTCACCAAACTTGTTGTTGGCCAGCAAGCCAGGCGATCCATCCAACAGCTTTGATGGGCATGCGGGACAGCAAGGACTCGACGGGATCAAACTCGGAGGGGAGGGCGACGACAGGGTCGGCGCGGGGCAGGAAGCCCCTGGTGGTTGACACCATGAAGGCTGGAAGGGATTTGTCATGAGGACGAGTGTCGTCGAGAACAGGGAAGGACGCCGAAGCACCGAGCGAACCCATTGTGTTGGAAGGGAGAATATGTGTGTGTGTGTGTGTATAAGTCAAAGGCTGCGGCCTGGAACAGGTCTCCTAACCTGGGAAAGAAGTAATGAGACGAAAATTGAAAAGATGATCAATTTGGGAGGGGGTTTGGTGCGTGTGTGGGAGAGGCTTGCAAGTCAGGCTCTAAACACCACTGTCTGGCTGGCCGCACTCGCTAATATACATCGTGGCCGGAAGCATTCCGGCCTCAAGTGAGGGGGAGAGGTCAAGGCCACCCAAACCACGTTCGGGCCCTCCGGTTTCTGTTTGTCATATCAAACGCCCTACTGTCGACGTGGAAGGTCAGCTGTGGTCATCCAGCATCCCACGTATGCCAGGTGGACAGGCGGTTGACTCGTGGATGCCGATTCTGGTCAAGACAGTGAGTTGAGGTCATGTCTGCTATTGTCGCTGAGGTCCGCCTCTGGGCGAGCATGGCATTCGCTGGCGTCGGGTGCCACTTGTGCTGTGCCATCAAAAATCGTCGCAGCGGCTGCAAGTTTCGAAGACGTATATATGGACCGTGTAGTTCCCCCTTCTGGCCATTGCTGACCATCTACCCCAGCCTGATTCCCCAGACCCTGAGCCGACGATGTGAAGGCGAACGGACGGAAGCGAAACAAAGGGCGCGGGAAAAGGGGGGGAGGGTTGAGTAATGGATTGCGCAAGATTGGAGTCAGGACCCACATAAACCCCGACACTTGCCGGCCGTGGCCGGAAGAGTTCCGGCCTCTTGGCGCGCCCGGCTTCGGACCAGGGTGCCACAGATAAGGTCCCCCACGGCCCCGGCTCGTCAGACCCCAAAGCCTTGCTTCGCTTTTTGATAACGATGAATGCAAGGGCACAGTCTAGTTGCGTCAGACCCAAAAAAAAAAGTTTGTATTGGATTTACATCCGCACCCCGCTTGCGTGGGGTGGTCTGCAGTGTCATGGACAACACGAAGCTGCCTTGGAGAGTGACAAGACGACCGATCATATGCCGGCCCTGCTAAGAAACCTCCCTCGTCATCGTCGATTATAGTCCTCCGCCCTAAACCTTCATATCGAGTCGTGTCCCATTAGAGGCTTCTGTCTGCCCTGTCATAAAGTGTCGTACCCTAATGGTTCTTGTCAATACAGTCTTCATTGCCGGTTGATCGTCAGCCAGTACGAACCTCCGCAAACTAACTTCAAGGAAGAGCAATGGTCCTCCAGACAATCGCTGAAGCATCGTCGTCAGGGAATGCCAGGGTCAAGATGCCGGGCCCACTGGGTGCAGCACTGACAGCAGCAGCTGCCGGCTCTGCGCTCGGTGCCACGCTGCTTGCTTCTTGTGCCACGACCTCCGCAGGCGCAGGCGGAAGAGTTGCCTCCGGCGCGGCCGCGAGAGCCGCAGCACTGGAAGGCAGAGATGCGCTGGCTCCAGGGGCGCCAGGAGACGCAAGCGCCATGTCGAGAAGGGCTGTGCCGTCTACACCCGAGGGAATGGCTTTCAGGTTGGCTGAGAGATTCTCCGACGCAGAAGTGCCGTTCACGATGGCAGAGACATCCTCTGCAACCGGGAGTGGTGTAGGGTCGTCAACAATGTACTCGGTCAAGGTCCGTGTGATTGTGAAGGTACAGCCGCTGGCGCCTGCCCTGACGGACGACGTGACAACTTTCCCCAAATCGCTACCACTTGCGCCGAGGCCATTGCTGACTCCCTGAATCACTGAAGCGGTCGAGGTCGCTGCCAACGAGTTGGCCGAGTTTGCTACACCGGTCGTTAGCTGATCAGGGACAGCACCACTTACCACAAAGTCGGGAACACCCGTCGCTGTGCCTTCCTGCCTGTCGGGGTCGGAGGCGGCATTCGAGGGCAGAGACCCGCCAGAGCCGCCAGAGGAGCCAGAGGAGCCAGAGGAGCCAGAGGAGCCAGAGGAGCCAGAGGAGCCAGAGGAGCCAGAGGAGCCAGAGCCGCCAGAGGAGCCAGAGCCGCCAGAGCCGCCAGAGGAACCAGAGGAGCCAGAGGAGCCAGAGGAGCCAGAGGAGCCAGAGGAGCCAGAGGAGCCAGAGGAGCCAGAGGCTCCAGAGGAACCAGAGGAGCCAGAGGAGCCAGAAGAGCCAGAGGAACCAGAGGAGCCAGAGGAACCAGACGCCCCTGTGCCCGCGGCAGCTCCATTTGATGCCTGGCCACCGGATGTCAGTACAGCAGCCTGGCCTTTCATCAAGGCAGAGAGCCTTTGTTCGACGTCTTGGACGTCCGCGATGAGTTCCTTCAGCTCCTGTTCCGACACCGCAACCCCGGCAGTAGAAGCACGCCTGACAATCTCCAAAACGGCAGTCGGGACACGGTGACCGCCGTGAAACATGCCGCCGGGGACATTCTTGACTTCCAGGGAGGCTTCGTTGTGTCCGCCAGCCAGCGCCAGAGCATTGCCTTGGCCATGCGGTGAGCTGGGCTCGAGAGATTTCCCACGAAGCACTGCACCCGATGAGCCTTGAAAGGCGGCGGCAAGCACGACGAGGCTGTTGGCAACGTTCTTGATAGACATGATAGAGTATAACGAATTCTTTGGGTATAACGAATTCTTTGGGTATGATGATCAATGTCAAGGTTGCGCACTGCGGGACTCGTCGTAGAGCACCTGTTATAGATTCGCCTTCTTGGGCGTCGCGAGGTGCGCAGCAACGCATTCCAGTAGCCGTTGCCAGTATCTGCTGGACACACATTCCAGAGATCTCACCAAGGTCTCATAGCCCCTCTCGATGTGACCTTTTATGAATTCAGCCAAGGACGGCTGCCAAGTTTGCCATGTGCCATGTGCCCTTGACAAAGGTCCAGATGCACGGTAAGAATCAACAATCTCGGATGTCATGATATTGGCACAATGTGACAGGAGCACCATGGAATGCACGATGGACGAGGTGACAAACGATCGCTGCGCAAGTTGCTCCATGCAGAGGGCCGCGTGCACAGAAAGCTGGCAGTCTCTCTCTCTCGGCCACTGAGTACGATCAATTCATGTCCTGTTCAGGGCGTGACGCAAGAGGCGTGCCTTGTGGAGCGATTAGCTCAGATGGGGGCTCTGTTACCTACCGATCCTCATCACCAGCCCCATAGAAGTTGGCTTCTCCTCAGCGATGGAAGAAAATGCCATGACCAGCGGACAATCTTTTCACAATGGGTCTAGAGTTGGCCGTGTTCGCAAGAGTCCAGGCATGTCCGACCGCCAAATTGATTCGGCCTGGGCCTCGGGGGTTGGCAATGCCGGCCGACGTGATCGATTTGGTTATGAAGGTGGTGGAGTGCCTGGTCAGCCGGAACAACATACTTTGCGAAGCCTGTCACATTTCGACGCAGGCTGCGGGCTCTCTGTAGACGAGGATAGACCTTGGGCGCCCAAAGGTCACATCATCAAGGTGTTCCAGGAGCAAGATGTTGCACGATTGAAGTGGAGGCCGCAGAAATACTGTCCGGGTGCCCAACCCTGGCGGAGCATGTGCCGAGACTGGATATATGTTTCTCTCATGGCGGAGGAGTATGATCACTTCGGACCACTGACTGGTAGGCATTCCGTGGAGGTGCAAGTCATTAGATGAGCTGGCGTTCCATGTGGATCAGGGTGAGAGGTTCTGGTGGGCGAATCTTGATTTGCTGCGACTCGTTGGAGAATCCACCGGTTGGCCCCCTCCATTGCCCGTCAGGGCGTTAACGTTGACGGGGGCACAGCAGGTACCTTGCTTGGGATGGCCGTGGTGTTCGGAGAAGAAAGACCTGACGCTGACAGTGGCGGGACGAGACAGGGCAGGGCAAGGCCCTTTCTCCAATGATGATGATGAATGGAGTTGAGGGCGCCAGAGACGATTTCAGATGCGCTTGGCCACTTTGGGTACCTTAGGATGCGAGTGGAGGATGCCTGTTGCCAGCCAGTTGGTCAGGGCTTCCCATCTCCGTCGTGATGGCCCGAGGATGTTTGGGAGTCGGGATGGGCGGAAGAAGGGTGTTTCGCTAGGTGACAACAAGGAAATCATGCCTGAGGCCTGAGGGGGGTAGAGGGGGCAGAGGGGGCAGAAGCAAGGAGCAGGCCGGATCAACCCAGGCGCCGAGCTCCCTCCTGTTCTTGCCGCCTGGGATAAGTGCATGTACGAATATACCAGGGCAGGCGCAGGTGGGGCACAGGGAAGGGACCTTGGGGACCTGAGTGGGAGCACGGACCATGTCTGGTTACGTGACTGGACAAGGGCGATCCACCCTTTCCCTTTTCCCCTTTGCTCTTGCCTTTCTCGCTTACCCACTTCCCACGACTGCCCGTCCCCGGCTGTAGAGGCCAGTGCCTTGTGCTGGCGCGCGAGGAAGAGACAAGGTCGATTTCTCGAGCGAGCCCAGCCCAGCAGCATGAGAAGTCTACCACCGCTCATTGTCACGCCGCCGGGCACTCGCGACAAAATGAGACGCCAAACCTACCAGATGGGCTCCCCCATAAAATAAAAATTCTCCCTCCTCCCCATCGCATCATCCCATCACCCATCCCAGCATCACTGTTTCCCAGCCTTTTGCCATCACCGTCACCATCACTGACGACTCGCCGCCGCCCTTCTCCGACCATCCACCAAAAGCCCGCAGCCTGCCCCTGCGACCAGCAGCCAGATCACCACGAGCCGCTCCAGCTCCAGCT